TAACACACATCTTAAACCTCCCCATAAACATATAAACACTGATGAATGTGTATATACATGTACATATGTACAGACCGAGATGGAAATGTTTGGGAATAACAAATACCAAACAATTCAAGAAATGTAATAAGGCAAATACACATTTAAACTTATCTTGTCTGAGAAAACACTATGTGAAATGCTGGACTTCCTCACCGATAACATCTATGTGCAATTTGGAGGTGAGACATTTAGTTAAAAAGTAGGAATCTCCATGGGAACCGACTGTGCTCCTCTTCCTGCTGTTTCTTTATTCAAATGAATCTGTATTTCTGCTCGGCCTGGCAAAATCTAATCAGGTGATTTGGCCAAGAAGGTTAACTTATGTTTCAGGAATATCGATGGTCTGATATTATTCAGTCAATAGCCAATTCCCTTGCACTGATTTACCAACCTAAACTTGAACTAAAAGAATCCAGTGGAACCGCCTCATCTGTTTCATTTTGATATATATGCATGAACATTGAGCGTGGCAAAATACAACCATAAGACTGTATGATTTGTTCCAGCAGCTCCAGCCTTTGGTGTCTACTTTAACAACTTTTAAAGCACAATCGAGCATGCTCATTCTACGAAGATTTAAAAGAGCGTCCTCTCTCTCTCTCTCTCTTCTCTCTCTCTCTCTCTCTCTCTCTCTCTCTCTCTCTCTCTCTCTCTCTCTCTCTCTCTCTCTCTCTCTCTCTCTCTCTCTCTCTCTCTCTCTCTCTCTCTCTCTGTCTCTAGTGCTCGTGGGATTCACCGAAGTGGTAAACGTCCGAGACCTGCATCACTTCGGTCTTTCCTCCCACATTTAGCGGACAGGCCGTGATATGACTGAAATACTGTTAAAGCGGCATTAAACCCACCTCACTGACTGACTGACTGACTCACTCACTCAGAACTGAAATACTGTTGTGAACTTGAATTTAATTCAGTTATCCTGTCGTGTAGAAAGGTAAATCCGCACCTGACACAACGACCGCAGCAGCAGCAACCGATTATTGGCCCACGTAAAGTCTTTGACCAGGCAAGTGTATTTGAAATTTGAAATCAGATTGCAGTGCCATGAAGCTAGATCTGGTTTGTTTGTTTGTTGTTTAACGCCGCACTCAGCAATATTCCAGCTGTATGACAGCGGTCTGTAAATAATCGAGTATGGACCAGACAATCCAGTGTTTGATGTCATGAGCATCGATCCACGCAATTGGGATCGATGACATGAAAAAGATGGATGGGGATGAAGCTGGTATCCGCAATCAGGTACAGCAGCTATTGTGACCTGCCCTCATGGAGGGAAACACCATGTCTTAGTTGTCCGCGACGCTTCTCTTTCATACAATCACGCAATCATTTCAATACATTGGCATAATATTCACCATTCACAGTTGTCCCAACAGAAGGTGTGCATAACGTTCTTAACGCATCCGGGGCGGTCGGGTAGCCTAGTGGTTAATGCGTTCGCTCGTCACGCCGAAGAACCGGGTTCGATTCCCGACATGGGTACATTGTGTGAAGCCCATTTCTGGTGTCCCCCGCCGTGATATTGCTGGAATATTGCTAAAAGCGGCGTAAAACCATACACACTTACACACTCACTCTTAACGAATCTTGTTCCTTCAGACGTCTTGGTTTTGGAAGACCTTAAGTGTTTCCACTCCGTGGATTCTTGTTTCTTTGGCATCATGAAAGTTGATCCAGGCCTCACCACAAGCCTAAAATGAAATTCTTCTTCGTTGCGATGTTATCTAGTTAACAAGGCCTTAGAGGATAAGAGGAACCGCGTAGCCTCGATTTCATCCAACAGCTTTCTGCGAATCCACCGGACACAAACCTTGACATATGTAGATGTTCTTGATTGTTTCTTCTGAGGATCCTGTGCTCTTCCTGACCTCCTGGAGTGCAATGCGCCTGTTGTGTCGTACAAGGTTTTGGACAGCACCAATGTTTTATTTTGTGGTTCTTGTGGTGGTCTACAAGGGCAGAGGTCATCTCCCAAACGCTGACATTCCTTCATCCAACGTGGCTTATCATAGGCAGCCTCCCCAACAGTTCATCATAGGCAACATGCAACAGTTCATCGATATCCTTTGGTGATTGATCCTCAAGCGTTATGTTCAATGAGTTGGCTGCTCTATACTCAGTTACCTCCATTATAATCTTAGACCCGTGAAGATCCGGGGTAGAATAGGTCTTCAGCAACCCATGCTTGCCGTAAAAGGCGACTATGCTTGTCGTAAGAGGCAAAACGACTTACGTGATCGGATGGTCAGGCTCACTGACTTGGTTTGATACATGTCATCGATCTCAATTGCGTGGATCGATGCTCGTGATGTCAATCACTGGATTGTCTGGTCCAGACTCGACCAGTGTGCGGCGTTAAACAACAAATAAACAAACAAACAAACAAACATTACAATCGTAAGGAGTGGGGTGCCTCGCAGTCGAAGGAAACAGTCAGCACATCACTAGCCAAAAGATGCCCCCCCAAAAACAAACAAAACAACAACAAACAAACAAACAAACAAACAAACAAAACAAAACAAGAAACACACTACTAATACACCTCAAATATATGGCTAAAATGTCAGATCTTCCCTCTTTATTGTAACCATATATATAATTGTCTGTAAGTCGAAGGGGCGGTCGGGTAGCCTAGTGGTTAAAGCGTTTGCTCGTCACGCCGAAGACCCGGGTTCGATTCCCGACATGGGTACAATGTGTGAAGCCCATTTCTGGTGTCCCCCGCCGTGATATTGCTGGAATATTGCTAAAAGCGGCGTAAAACCATACTCACTCACTCACTGTAATTCGAGGATAAACAATACACCTTGGCCAAACTCTTTTGGTTCCGCCTTCCTGCTCCAGTGTTTTGAACGCCTGCCCGTAGAGAGGTTGGTGGTTCGATCTCTCGCCGCTTCCCCACCAAAAGATCTTAAATGATGACACTATATATTTGCATGACAATACCGCACGGAACCTACATACAAACCGTCTGAGACGTAACACCACCTTGGAAAGAAAGGGTACCCTGTACAGTGATATGTAAATCACTTGCTGCTTTGACATTCGGGCTTTTTAATCAACACTGCTGCGATAGTCCTCGTGATATCATTCCTGATACTCACGAAAAGGATCGACAAACAACTTTCACAAAATACGATCAAATCGCAGCCCACCAGATTAATCAAATCTTTTAAATCAATTGAACTCTTATGATGAGTGTGGTATAGCTGTTTTATCCGTTGCCTCCCAAATCGTAGCTCACCTGGTGAAAGATGTTAATTGTCATAGCCTTCATGTCCGACATTTTTTCTATACCACTTTATCTCAGAAGCATCCATTTCATAATTTGAAAAAATTATACGTTATTGGTAAATTGACTTGAAAATATGGTTTGAAAATTTAGAAAGTGTTTTTTTTATCCAGGTGAACTTCAGCGCGTATGAGCCTGATCAGTGACAATGGAGAGATACATATCTATAGCATATCCACGAAAAGCAATAATAATCCAGCCTATCCTAGTAATGTTACACTGTATACGTATTCTCAGCGGCATATCATAAATATATTAATAAAACATTATGAGTGTCGTCTAAATTGCAACATTTTGCAAATTTGTTATTGAAGAAACTCTGGAGATCGAAAGACGACATACGTCTTTAGTGCGATGCTACAAAAACAAAACTTCTCCACTAGTGGGATTAAAAGACATTCACTGCAACAAGTTTGATATTAAATTATTTGTTATTCGCGAAGCATAATGCAAACCGTCAGCACCAGAGAATAATCGGTCTCGATAATCTGCCGAAACGGACCCCATTAAGTGTAATGGGCAGAGTAGCTGTGAGGCTGAAATTTAAAAAAATAAATTATGCTTCAGAACAAAAAAGGAACAGCCTGTCACTACAGTTACACTGCTACTGCTGCAAGGTGATGGTCTTAAAATAAATCCAGACTCTCTCGCACGCACACACACACACACACACACACACACACACACACACACACACACACACACACACACACACACACACACACACACAACCGACAAATATCAAATGGTCCGCCTCTTATAAGCAAAACACGTTTAAGAAATATGAAACACAACGACAAATTGAGCCTAATTATAAATATTTCTTTTGATGATATACATGTATTAACATCTGCTGGAAGAAATATCTAACTATTTCTATCTTTGAAAAAAATGTATTAAAATAGTCCCCCAAATCCTTTCTCTAAAAACGCAAAAATAAAATGTAAGTGATTAATGTTTTTTTGTAGTCTAGTGCGTTTCCTTTTGTTCTTCTATTTCACGCGCGTGAATAATCTCGATAAATTGTCAGATGAAAGCTTGAATTCGTAATATATTATGGATGGCAAATACATTTTCCGTCACTCATGGTTGCTAAATGTAATTGCATATGTCGAAAAAAGTTTGAAAATAATTTGTCTCGATCGACCCCCTCCCTCCTCCCCATTATAAAATATCGGCCCCTCTAGAATATTTGATTCATCTTGGATGACGCATAAAAACCCAATATTACCTGCTTCAGTATCTGGCGTTCACATTTATTATATTTTGTCCCCAGATTCTCTCAGTGCAAGTATATAGGCAGACTGACATCCCAGAAAGAAAATTATCTTATTTAAATATATATATTTGCAAAATAATATAAATGGAGTCCATATCAATGCTTCATTTCAGGGCTGACGTTGTCTGGTCTTGGCCACCCATTCTAGACTTGAGTTGGATTCCATTTTTAATATAATCTCTAGGGTCTGATTGACAGACTAATATGTACGATGATGATTGGGGAGAGCACACTCGATTATGCAGGGTATTATATTTCCATTACATTCTGATAAATACCCTGGATCTACGGAGTACCGGTTGCCATAGCGTCGTGCTTGCGTCCGATTCGAATGACATAAGATTGTTTTCAAGCTTCATAACAACGATAATCGAGTCTGGACCAGGGACATTATGAGCAAGAATCCATGTAATCAGCATGGAGTGAGCTGAGCTGAGCTGAGCTGAGCTGAGCTGAGCTATGGTTAGCTGAGCTGAGCTGATCTGATGTTTGATAGTGTGAGCTGATGGTTGTGGAGTTGAGTTTATTGTTGGGAAGGTGGGCTGATGGTTGGGTGGTTGAACTGATAGTTGGGAGGTTGAACTGATGGTTGGGAGGTTGAACTGATGGTTGGGAGGTTGAACTGATGGTTGGGAGGTTGAACTGATGGTTGGTTGGTTGAACTGATGGATGGGAGGTTGAACTGATGGATGGGAGGTTGAACTGATGGTTGGGAGGTTGAACTGATGGATGGGAGGTTGAACTGATGGTTGGGAGGTTGAACTGATGGTTGGGAGGTTGGACTGATGGTTGGGAGGTTGAACTGATAGTTGGGAGGTTGAACTGATGGTTGGGAGGTTGAACTGATAGTTGGGAGGTTGAACTGATGGTTGGGTGGTTGAACTGATAGTTGGGTGGTTGAACTGATGGTTGGGTGGTTGAACTGATAGTTGGGAGGTTGAACTGATGGTTGGGGGGTGGTTGAATTGATAGTTGGGAGGTTGAACTGATGGTTGGTTGGTTGAACTGATGGATGGGAGGTTGAACTGATGGATGGGAGATTGAACTGATGGTTGGGAGGTTGAACTGATGGATGGGAGGTTGAACTGATGGTTGGGAGGTTGAACTGATGGTTGGGAGGTTGAACTGATGGTTGGGAGGTTGAACTGATAGTTGGGAGGTTGAACTGATGGTTGGGAGGTTGAACTGATAGTTGGGAGGTTGAACTGATGGTTGGGTGGTTGAACTGATAGTTGGGTGGTTGAACTGATGGTTGGGTGGTTGAACTGATAGTTGGGAGGTTGAACTGATGGTTGGGGGGTGGTTGAATTGATAGTTGGGAGGTTGAACTGATGGTTGGGAGGTTGAACTGATGGATGGGAGGTCTAACTGATAGTTGGGAGGTTGAACTGGTGGTTGGTTGGTTGAACTGATGGTTGGGTGGTGGAACTGATGGTTGGGAGGTTGAACTGATGGTTGAGATGTTGAACCGATGAATGAGATGTTGAACTGATGGTTGGGAGGTTGAACTGATGGATGGGAGGTTGAACTGCTGGTTGGGAGGTTGAACTGCTGGTTGGTTGGTTGAACTGATGGATGGGAGGTTGAACTGATGGATGGGAGGTTGAACTGATGGTTGGGAGGTTGAACTGATGGATGGGAGGTTGAACTGATGGTTGGTTGGTTGAACTGATGGTTGGGAGGTTGAACTGATGGTTGGGAGGTTGAACTGATGGTTGGGTGGTTGAACTGATGGTTGGGTGGTTGAACTGATAGTTGGGTGGTTGAACTGATAGTTGGGAGGTTGAACTGGTGGTTGGTTGGTTGAACTGATGGTTGGGTGGTTGAACTGATGATTGGGAGGTTGAACTGATGGTCGGGTGGTTGAACTGATGGTTGGGAGGTTGAACTGATGATTGGGAGGTTGAACTGATGGTTGGGTGGTTGAACTGATGATTGGGTGGTTGAACTGATGGTTGGGAGGTTGAACTGATGGTTGGTTGGTTGAACTGATGATTGGGAGGTTGAACTGATGGATGGGAGGTTGAACTGATGATTGGGTGGTTGAACTGATGGTTGGGTGGTTGAACTGATGATTGGGAGGTTGAACTGATGGTTGGGTGGTTGAAATGATGGTTGGGAGGTTGAACTGATGGTTGGGTGGTTGAACTGATAGTTGGGAGGTTGAACTGGTGGTTGGTTAGTTGAACTGATGGATGGGTGGTTGAACTGATGATTGGGAGGTTGAACTGATGGTTGAGAGGTTGAACCGATGAATGGGAGGTTGAACTGATGGTTGGGAGGTTGAACTGATGGATGGGAGGTTGAACTGCTGGTTGGGAGGTTGAACTGGTGGTTGGTTGGATGAACTGATGGATGGGAGGTTGAACTGATGGATGGGAGGTTAAACTGATGGATGGGAGGTCTAACTGATGGTGAGGAGGTTGAACTGGTGGTTGGGAGGTGGAACTGATGGTTGCGTGGTTGAACTGATGGTTGGGAGGTGGAACTGATGGATGGGAGGTTGAACTGATGGTTGGGAGGTGGAACTGATGGTTGGGAGGTTGAACTGATGGTTGGGTGGTGGAACTGATGGATGGGAGGTTGAACTGATGGTTGGGAGGTGGAACTGATGGTTGGGAGGTTGGACTGATGGTTGGGAGGTGGAACTGATGGATGGGAGGTTGAACTGATGGTTGGGAGGTGGAACTGGTGGTTGGTTGGATGAACTGATGGATGGGAGGTTGAACTGAAAGTTGGGAGGTTGAACTGATGGATGGGAGGTTGAACTGCTGGTTGGGAGGTTGAACTGGTGGTTGGTTGGATGAACTGATGGATGGGAGGTTGAACTGATTGATGGGAGGTTAAACTGATGGATGGGAGGTCTAACTGATGGTTGGGAGGTTGAACTGGTGGTTGGGAGGTGGAACTGATGGTTGGGTGGTTGAACTGATGGTTGGGAGGTGGAACTGATGGATGGGAGGTTGAACTGATGGTTGGGAGGTGGAGCTGATGGTTGGGAAGTTGAACTGATGGTTGGGAGGTGGAACTGATGGATGGGAGGTGGAACTGATGGTTGGGAGGTGGAACTGATGGATGGGAGGTTGAACTGATGGTTGGGAGGTGGAACTGATGGTTGGGAGGTGGAACTGATGGTTGGGTGGTTGAACTGATGGTTTGGTGGTTGAACTGATGGTTTGGTGGTTGAACTGATGTTTGGGTGGTTGAACTGATGGTTGGGAGATTTAACTGATGGATGGGAGGTTGAACTGATGGTTGGGAGGTGGAACTGATGGTTGGGAGGTGGAACTGATGGTTGGGAGGTGGAACTGATGGTTGGGAGGTGGAACTGATGGATGGGAGGTTGAACTGATGGTTGGGAGGTGGAACTGATGGTTGGGAGGTGGAACTGATGGTTGGGTGGTTGAACTGATGGTTTGGTGGTTGAACTGATGGTTTGGTGGTTGAACTGATGTTTGGGTGGTTGAACTGATGGTTGGGAGATTGAACTGATGGATGGGAGGTTGAACTGATGGTTGGGAGGTTGAACTGATGGTTGGGAGGTGGAACTGATGGTTAGGAGGTTGAACTGAATGTTTATGGAGTTGAACTGATGGTTGGGAAGTTGAATTGATGGTTGTGAATTAAGCAGATGTTTGGCAGTCGGCCTGGTGGTTGGATGGTGTACGGGTAGTGTGGAGGGTGAGCTGATGGTTAGGGAGGTGAGGTATGGGTTTGACGGTCGAGACATGGTGGGGCTCTTCACGTTACATCGTCACACGGTCAGCACGTTAGGGCCTAGAGCGTTATGCTTCACACTGCAACCATTTCCACTCCAGCTGTACGAGTTCCTAATCTCCTCCAAACTGTGATTCTCGTCGCCTGTCAATATGCCCCTCCAACCGCCCAATAAGGGGTTGACAGTCATGACTCCCGCCATGTACCTCTCGAGACATGACGCAGAGGAACGACTAAACTCACTTCAAACTTGTAATATGACAGGTTGATGAGAAAAAATCGTCTCCATGCTGAGATGAAAGCGTATTAAAGATGGCGACAGCTAGTGTGATCTCCATGATCGTCGCCGCTGAACGCTCTTCACTCGCTCGACGGCAAAAACGCCCGGATGAAGAATTTCACATTGGACGAGTTTGGTGGAAAAAGAACCATCCTCTTTAGGCAATTAGCAAATGCGGTATATGTTCAATGTTAATTCATTTCTCACGAGTAAAACTCATGAAAAATTCATTAGAGAATGTCTGTTGAACGTGAGCGGTAGCGCATCGGTCGTCGAGAGTGGGTTTCCTTGCAAGAACTTAGGTCGTCAAATTCACCGAGATGAATTAAGTTATTTTTGTGGGCCCTTCATCTTGCTTGGTTTTGCTATGCAAGTCTGTAGAAATTTGAATTATAGTCTATTTATGCAAATAAGGTGTCCATATACAGCATTATATGTGATCGTATTAGAAAGGGATGGACGTAAAGAAGGGTTGATAAGGCTTATAAAACATCTTGTATGCCGTTGAAAATTTTTATTCGAAATTTCGGAACAAACGTTCTATGAAAACGGTTATCGCGGTGACATTTGATGCGGTGACCGTGAATAGATAAAGTTAAACGTAAGAGTAAGGTTGGGACTATTTTGGGATATATTTATACGATATGATAAACAAACGATCTGAAGTAGATGTTCCCCTTTTTCGTGATTTGGTAAAAGCTTATTCAACATGATTATTGCAGATGATGGTGATGATTATGGCGATGAGTGAGTGAACGAATATGGTTTTACGCCGCTTTTAGAAATATTTCAGCAATATCACGGCGGGGGACACCGGAAAAATGGTTTATGGCGATGATGCTGATGCTGATTATGACGATGGTGATGATGATGATGATGATGATGAAGAAGATAATGATGATGATGGTGATTATTGCAATAAAGATGATGGTGATGGTTATGGCGATGATGTTAATGCCGTTTATGATGATGATGATGATGATGATGATGATGAAGCCTTTGTTAAAGAATGGGAATAAAGGCAGTCGTAACACGAAGCTCTGTGCGTGAGCGTGAAACGATGTCACAACTTCAGGGACATAAGGCAGGATGGTTGTGTGCTATCGTTAGTTTCTTTCTAGTCCGGACTCGATTATAAGTTCATCTTGACACATCGCCAACGTGATGGTTTGGAAGGTGGGCTGATAGTTGGGAAGGTGGTCTGATGGTTGGGAAGGTGGGCTGATGGTTGGGAAGGCGTGCTGATGATTGGGAAGGTGGACTGATGGTTGGGAAGGTGGGCTGATGGTTGGGAAGGTGGGCTGATGGTTGGGAAGGTGGGCTGAAGGTTTGGAAGGTGGACTGATGGTTTGGAAGGTGGGCTGATGGTTGGGAAGGTGGACTGGTGGTTGGGAAGGTGGGCTGATTGTTGGGAAGGTGGGCTGGTGGTTGGGAAGGTGGACTGATGGTTGGGAAAGTGGGCTGATGGTTGGGAAGGTGGGCTGATGGTTGGGAAGGTGGGCTGATGGTTGGGACTGGGGCTGATGGTTGGGAAGGTGGGCTGGTGGTTGGGAAGGTGGGCTGATGGTTGGGAAGGTGGGCTGGTGGTTGGGAAGGTGGGCTGATTGTTGGGAAGGTGGGCTGATGGTTGGGAAGGTGGGCTGATGGTTGGGAAGGTGGGCTGATGGTTGGGAAGGTGGACTGGTGGTTGGGAAGGTGGGCTGATGGTTGGGAAGGTGGACTGGTGGTTGGGAAGGTGGACTGATGGTTGGGAAGGTGGGCTGATGGTTGGGACTGGGGCTGATGGTTGGGAAAGTGGGCTGATGGTTGGGACTGGGGCTGATGGTTTGGAAGGTGGACTGGTGGTTTGGAAGGTGGGCTGATGGTTTGGAAGGTGGGCTGATGGTTTGGAAGGTGGGCTGATGGTTGGGAAGGTTGACTGGTGGTTGGGAAGGTGGGCTGATTGTTGGGAAGGTAGGCTGATTGTTTGGAAGGTGGACTGATGGTTGGGAAAGTGGGCTGGTGGTTGGGAAGGTGGACTGATGGTTGGGAAAGTGGGCTGGTGGTTGGGAAGGTGGGCTGATGGTTGGGACTGGGGCTGATGGTTGGGAAGGTGGACTGATGGTTGGGAAAGTGGGCTGGTGGTTGGGAAGGTGGACTGATGGTTGGGACTTGGGCTGATGGTTGGGAAGGTGGGCTGATGGTTGGGACTGGGGCTGATGGTTGGGAAGGTGGGCTGATGGTTTGGAAGGTGGACTGATGGTTGGGAAAGTGGGCTGGTGGTTGGGAAGGTGGACTGATGGTTGGGACTGGGCCTGATGGTTGGGAAGGTGGACTGGTGGTTTGGAAGGTGGACTGATGGTTGGGAAAGTGGGCTGGTGGTTGGGAAGGTGGACCGATGGTTGGGACTGGGGCTGATGGTTGGGAAGGTGGACTGGTGGTTTGGAAGGTGGGCTGATGGTTTGGAAGGTGGGCTGATGGTTTGGAAGGTGGGCTGATGGTTTGGAAGGTTGACTGGTGGTTGGGAAGGTGGGCTGATTGTTGGGAAGGTGGGCTGATGGTTGGGAAGGTGGACTGATGGTTGGGAAGGTGGGCTGATGGTTGGGAAGGTGGGCTGATGGTTGGGAAGGTGGGCTGATGGTTGGGAAGGTGGGCTGATGGTTGGGAAGGTGGGCTGATGGTTGGGACTGGGGCTGATGGTTGGGAAGGTGGGCTGGTGGTTGGGAAGGTGGACTGATGGTTGGGAAGGGGGGCTGATGGTTGGGAAGGTGGGCTGATTGTTGGGAAGGTGGGCTGATGGTTGGGAAGGTGGGCTGATGGTTGGGAAGGTGGGCTGATGGTTGGGACTGGGGCTGATGGTTGGGAAGGTGGGCTGGTGGTTGGGAAGGTGGGCTGATGGTTGGGAAGGTGGGCTGGTGGTTGGGAAGGTGGGCTGATTGTTGGGAAGGTGGGCTGATGGTTGGGAAGGTGGGCTGATGGTTGGGAAGGTGGGCTGATGGTTGGGAAGGTGGACTGGTGGTTGGGAAGGTGGACTGATGGTTGGGAAGGTGGGCTGATGGTTGGGAAGGTGGACTGGTGGTTGGGAAGGTGGGCTGATGGTTGGGAAGGTGGGCTGATGGTTGGGACTGGGGCTGATGGTTGGGAAAGTGGGCTGATAGTTGGGACTGGGGCTGATGGTTTGGAAGGTGGACTGGTGGTTTGGAAGGTGGGCTGATGGTTTGGAAGGTGGGCTGATGGTTTGGAAGGTGGGCTGATGGTTGGGAAGGTTGACTGGTGGTTGGGAAGGTGGGCTGATTGTTGGGAAGGTAGGCTGATTGTTTGGAAGGTGGACTGATGGTTGGGAAAGTGGGCTGGTGGTTGGGAAGGTGGACTGATGGTTGGGAAAGTGGGCTGGTGGTTGGGAAGGTGGGCTGATGGTTGGGACTGGGGCTGATGGTTGGGAAGGTGGACTGATGGTTGGGAAAGTGGGCTGGTGGTTGGGAAGGTGGACTGATGGTTGGGACTTGGGCTGATGGTTGGGAAGGTGGGCTGATGGTTGGGACTGGGGCTGATGGTTGGGAAGGTGGGCTGATGGTTTGGAAGGTGGACTGATGGTTGGGAAAGTGGGCTGGTGGTTGGGAAGGTGGACTGATGGTTGGGACTGGGCCTGATGGTTGGGAAGGTGGACTGGTGGTTTGGAAGGTGGACTGATGGTTGGGAAAGTGGGCTGGTGGTTGGGAAGGTGGACTGATGGTTGGGACTGGGGCTGATGGTTGGGAAGGTGGACTGGTGGTTTGGAAGGTGGGCTGATGGTTTGGAAGGTGGGCTGATGGTTTGGAAGGTGGGCTGATGGTTTGGAAGGTTGACTGGTGGTTGGGAAGGTGGGCTGATTGTTGGGAAGGTGGGCTGATGGTTGGGAAGGTGGACTGATGGTTGGGAAGGTGGGCTGATGGTTGGGAAGGTGGGCTGATGGTTGGGACTGGGGCTGATGGTTGGGAAGGTGGGCTGGTGGTTGGGAAGGTGGACTGATGGTTGGGAAGGGGGGCTGATGGTTGGGAAGGTGGGCTGATTGTTGGGAAGGTGGGCTGATGGTTGGGAAGGTGGGCTGATGGTTGGGAAGGTGGGCTGATGGTTGGGACTGGGGCTGATGGTTGGGAAGGTGGGCTGGTGGTTGGGAAGGTGGGCTGATGGTTGGGAAGGTGGGCTGGTGGTTGGGAAGGTGGGCTGATTGTTGGGAAGGTGGGCTGATGGTTGGGAAGGTGGGCTGATGGTTGGGAAGGTGGGCTGATGGTTGGGAAGGTGGACTGGTGGTTGGGAAGGTGGACTGATGGTTGGGAAGGTGGGCTGATGGTTGGGAAGGTGGACTGGTGGTTGGGAAGGTGGGCTGATGGTTGGGAGGTTGAGTTGATGATTGCGGCGCATCGCCAACGTGAGCTTATAATTGGTCTTCGTTCACTTCCATAATCCCACTTGTTCGACCCTGGCTATATCAAGGTCAACTTTTAAGTTCAACAATTCAAAATATCCACCACTGCACTCTTTAATCAAGAACAGAACAGAATCAAAATACCAACCTCTTCTTCTGCAAAACCATAGTATATATTGCTTTTGCATGTTTGTTTGTTGTTTGTTTTTGTGAAGTACAGACATGAAGCCTTTTTTAACTGACATCTAATTGACTTCAAGATCTGTCGCATCCATTGTGACGTTAAAGTTCTCGCACCTGATGTGATCTTCTTGATGCTTAGTGGATGCTTAGATATTAACAGAGATTGTTTGTTTGATGTTTAACGCCGCACTCAGCAATATTCCAGCTATATGACGGCGGTCTGTAAATAATCGTGTCTTGAGCAGACAATCCAGTGATTGACATCATGAGCACCGATCCATGCAATTGGGATCGATGACATGCATCAACCAAGTCAGCGAGCCTGACCACCCGATCCCGTTAGTCGCCTTACGAAAAGCATAGTCGCCTTTTTACGGCAAGTGTGGGTTGCTGAAGACCTTTTCTATCACGGACTTCACGGGTCTAGACAGTGTTCGAAATAACTGCCTGCCCGACCGTCCGAGACGGGTTGATTTCAACTCGGGCTGCCAGATTTTCAAATCCCCCTGCCCGACGGTCAGGTTATATTTCATATGTGAAAATATTCTAAATATTCCCAATGATAAGCATTAATTCACATGTAAAGATGAATGATAAAATGTAACCAAAAAGAAACCCGTTAGCTTGTCCTGAGAAACATATGATGATAGTGGGCAGGCAGGTTTTGGTCAGGGCTGGCAAGTATTTCAGCTAGCCAGTCCTGTGGTCTGGCTGAAATTTTGGGGAGTTTCATACCCTGGTCTAGATATTGACAGAGAGGTGTATCGAATGTAATTTTAACGACGTGGGGTGGAATGGTGTGGCTGCTTGTACTAGTCGGTACGCATTCCGGTTTAATAGTACTATCCCACTGTGATGCCATGACGCAGTTTAACATAGATATCCCACTCAGACAACTTACACTGACGCCGAACCCACCACTCCTTGTTTTAGCCCCTTAATGCCGAGCGCAAGGCATGGAAACAACAAGTGCCATCTTTTTACGTCTTTTGGTATGACACGTTCGGGGATCGAACCCCAGACCTTCCGCTCACCGGGCGGACACTCTACCACTAGACCACCTAGTAATTGTAATGACATTACCAATGATAGGAATAACTTCTGTAGGAAATTATCCCAGCTAGGCATACAGGACCTTTTAGACATGGTCTCTAGTTGACAGCACTTAAGTTAACCGTCCACCATACACTGGGATTTTGAGAATGAGTAAAGCTGTACCTGTTCTGTGCCAAAACATAAAGACACGTGAAAGTATAACGTACATAATAGATAAATTTAAATCGTGATATTTTTTAAAGTTTGAAGACGTTTTTGAAATGTCTTGTTTCCATCCATAACAATTCTGGAATCAATTTTGCTTTGTATAGATATACCATTACTAAAAGCAATCGCTTTTTGTATATATTCAACACGTATGAATATGTAATGTCTTACAGAAAAAAACCAGTTGTACAAATGTAACAGAGGAATATAACATGACACTAATATTTTAGTTAGAATCGGTTCTATCGCTTATCTATTTGTTGAGATGAATTTATGATTTGGCTCATATTTGCACAAGTAACCTCCCTATAGATGCTCAACAAAAGCATACATCTATCACTGTCTATCGTCGTTTTTTCAAAGTTCAACAAGGGATCATAAAATACTTTATTCTACCTTACACATGAATATCGGATTCTGATAAGCGGAAGCCTATTCCATTATTTTTAATGTAGCCCGCTATTATGTAAGGTCCGTTTCATATGCTCCTCGCTCAAATTGCCGACCTGTTGGCATTACATTTACAACATACCAACCGCAATTTTGTATCTCGGATTAAAGATGTAAGACGCCATTCCCGTATATTTACGATATTTTCCGAATGAAATGTATCTAGGGGGAGTAACTCTGAGTTTTGTTTAACAATTCGGACCAAAACATCACGGCACCAGCAATAAATTGTACCCCTGGAATCGAACCCGGGCCTTTGGCGTGATGAGTGAACGTTTAATCCACTACGCCACCACATCGCCCCATACTTTTAATAATTTGGTGCCACGAATGTTATAAAAAAGGTGTCATGTATAATTTACGACACTGGAGACGTTTAACGTCAAACAGTTTCTTAACCCCATTACCCAGAACGCCCCAGGGCGTACAATCAACGCCCAAAATGTAAAAACGCTCAACGCTAAACGCCCAAAACGCTAAGAAATTCTACCTAAAGGTGCTAATTGCTATTAAAAACCGAGAGCCCAAATGGTGGCAATTTTTGTGAATACAAGTATTGCATCATCGTTAGTCGCCCTTAGATTAGTATCATTTGATTACAACAAAGTCGCCATAGCCTGTCGTTAGGTTTCCCCCAGGGCATTACGTGCCGTCTCAATACCAAGATACAACCCACAGCTACATTAAAGCAGTAAATGGACGCCTGCAGGTAACGACACACTATGGAGGAAATATTGGGAATACGTGCAGCAAGTTGATGCGGCCAGTTGTAGGCTTTTGGGACGGTAGACATAATTACCATTCGGCTTTAACCAACGCTTCTTACATAGCGCCCAGTTTCTGCGACTGTTTACACACTTGGCCACTTATGCATCCTTTGATCATGTTTTATATTGGAATTTATCGTTATGATAAAAATGTAAAAAATATAATTTCGATAAATTTTATATTTGAACTCTGTTTCGTTCTGCGTTCCTCGTTTCGACAATTGTAATTCTATGTTGATGTATCGGAACTCAATAGTTCAAGTGTTAAAATTGCTTTGCGGGACATAGTTGCAAAGACAGTTTTTTTATGAATAAATAATTTCAGCTCTTATTGGTTTTCTGTATTCAATTTTGTCGTGAATTCTTAAAAGACCTACTTCAAACTGTCAGTACTTAGCGATTTATATTGATGCAGGTCAGTGACCTCTAAATTACGAGGATACCATTGTGTTGTCTGTTGCTTAGCAACGTATCTCTAGGTGTGTAGGTTTTGGATTCTGGCTTATGAGATATATATATATCAAATGTGTGAGTGAGTGAGTGAGTGAGTTGGGTTTAACGCCGCTCTTAACAGTATTCCAGTTATATCGCGGCGTGTCAGCTTAATGTGGGAGGAAAGCCCGAAGTGATGCAGATCTCAGACGTTTACCACTTCGGTGATACCCACGAGCACGGGTATGGTGCTGACAAACCTAGAAACATAATTGGGGCGAACCGGGATTCGAACCCACAATCATAGGTTTCTGGCGTGCCCAAGGGACGCAACTCTGCACAGCGAATCGCGGCGCCTTAGACGACTGGGTCACCCGTGCCCCCTACATCAAATGAAAGGAGAATCAGAATCACTGAAGTAATACTACTTAACTCTTGACGTATATTTGGCACCAAAGTCTTGGAGCATTTTGTATTCGTATGTTTCTCATATGAAAACTTAAACTACAATCAGTTACAATACTCTTATCTCATCTTCAAACATATTTGAAACTTCTGGCTTAACGAAATCCCTAGGCCTCAAATACCCATTAACCCCTGCAAATATGAGTGAGTGAGTGAGTTGGGTTTAACGCCGCTTAGAAACACTATTCCAGTTATATCAGGCGTGTCAGCTTCATGTGGGAGGAAAGCCTGAAGTGATGCAGGTCTCAAATGTTTATCACTTTGGTGAAACCCACAAGCGCGAGTTTGGTCCTGACAAACTAGAAACATAATCGGCGTCAACTGGGCGGGTACAAGGGACGCAACTCTGCAAAGCGAATCGCGTAGCCATAGCCGACTGGGCCACCCGTGCCCCCTGGAAATATGAAGTCACTTAATGTATATCTCTATATGTAAAAGATATGTCAGTTTGTATTTGTAGTTGATTCGTAAATGGTGATAATTAAACCCAATAAAATCTGACTGAAACCTAATCGCTAAAGAAGCGCTGCCCAGGATCAGGTGTTAGTTTATAGTCCCCCTTTCAGCGGACTTAAAGGTGAGGCAGCCATATCAATCGGAAAACATCACTTGAGAGCAGCCATAGCACCCGGAAAACATCACTTGAGGGGTTAGCCATAGCACCCGGAAACATCACTCGAGGGCAGCCATAGCACTTGGGAAACATCACTTGAGAGATAGCCATAGCACTCGGGAAACATCACTTGAGGGCAGCCATAGCACTCGGGAAACATCACTTGAGGGCAGCCATAGCACTCGGGAAACATCACTTGAGGGCAGCCATAGCACTCGGGAAACATCACTTCAGGGCAGCCGTAGCATTTGGGAAACATCACTTGAGAGAAGCCATAGCACTCGGGAAACATCACTTGAGGGCAGCCATAGCACTCGGGAAACATCACTTGAGAGATAGCCATAGCACCCGGAAACATCACTTGAGAGGTAGCCATAGCACTCGGGAAACATCACTTGAGAGGTAGCCATAGCACTCAGAAACATCACTTGAGAGCTAGCCATAGCATTTGGGAAACATCACTTGAGAGATAGCCATAGCACCCGGAAACATCACTTGAGAGATAGCCATATCACCCTGAAACATCACTTGAGAGGTTAGCCATAGCACTCGGGAAACATCACTTGAGAGATAGCCATATCACCCGGAAACATCACTTGAGAGGTAGCCATAGCACTCGGGAAACACCACTTGATAGATAGCCATATCCCCCGGAAACATCACTTGAGAGGTAGCCATAGCACTCGGGAAACACCACTTGATAGATAGCCATAGCACTCGGAAACATCACTTGAGAGATAGCCATATCCCCCGGAAACATCACTTGAGAGATGGCCATATCCCCCGGAAACATCACTTGAGAGCAGCCATAGCACCCGGAAAACATCACTTGAGGGGTTAGCCATAGCACCCGGAAACATCACTCGAGGGCAGCCATAGCACTTGGGAAACATCACTTGAGAGATAGCCATAGCACTCGGGAAACATCACTTGAGGGCAGCCATAGCACTCGGGAAACATCACTTGAGGGCAGCCATAGCACTCGGGAAACATCACTTGAGGGCAGCCATAGCACTCGGGAAACATCACTTCAGGGCAGCCGTAGCATTTGGGAAACATCACTTGAGAGAAGCCATAGCACTCGGGAAACATCACTTGAGGGCAGCCATAGCACTCGGGAAACATCACTTGAGAGATAGCCATAGCACCCGGAAACATCACTTGAGAGGTAGCCAAAGCACTCGGGAAACATCACTTGAGAGGTAGCCATAGCACTCAGAAACATCACTTGAGAGCTAGCCATAGCATTTGGGAAACATCACTTGAGAGATAGCCATAGCACCCGGAAACATCACTTGAGAGATAGCCATATCACCCTGAAACATCACTTGAGAGGTTAGCCATAGCACTCGGGAAACATCACTTGAGAGATAGCCATATCACCCGGAAACATCACTTGAGAGGTAGCCATAGCACTCGGGAAACACCACTTGATAGATAGCCATATCCCCCGGAAACATCACTTGAGAGGTAGCCATAGCACTCGGGAAACACCACTTGATAGATAGCCATAGCACTCGGAAACATCACTTGAGAGATAGCCATATCCCCCGGAAACATCACTTGAGAGATGGCCATATCCCCCGGAAACATCACTTGAGAGGTAGCCATAGCACTCGGGAAACACCACTTGATAGATAGCCATAGCACTCGGAAACATCACTTGAGAGATAGCCATATCCCCCGGAAACATCACTTGAGAGATGGCCATATCACCCGGAAACATCACTTGAGAGATGGCCATATCACCCGGAAACATCACTTGAAAGATGGCCATATCACCCGGAAACATCACTTGAGAGGTAGCCATAGCACCCGGAAACATTACTTGAGAGGTAGCCATAGCACTCGGGAAACATCACTTGAGAGGTAGCCATAGCATTCGGGAAACATCACTTGAGAGGTAGCCATATCACCCGGAAACATCACTTGAGAAATGGCCATATCACCCGGAAACATCACTTGAGAGGTAGCCATAGCACTCGGGAAACATCACTTGAGAGGTAGCCATAGCATTTGGGAAACATCACTTGAGAGGTAGCCATATCACTCGGGAAACATCACTTGAGAGGTAGCCATAGCACTCGGGAAACATCACTTGAGAGGTAGCCATAGCACCCGGAAACATTACTTGAGAGGTAGCCATAGCACTCGGGAAACATCACTTGAGAGATAGCCATATCACCCGGAAACATCACTTGAGAGGTAGCCATAGCACTCGGGAAACACCACTTGATAGATAGCCATATCCCCCGGAAACATCACTTGAGAGGTAGCCATAGCATTCGGGAAACATCACTTGAGAGATGGCCATATCACCCGGAAACATCACTTGAGAGATGGCCATATCACCCGGAAACATCACTTGAGAGATGGCCATATCACTCGGGAAACATCACTCGAGAGATAGCCATATCACCCGGAAACATCACTTGAGAGGTAGCCATATCACCCGGAATCATCACTTGAGAGGTAGCCATAGCACTCGGGAAACACCACTTGAGAGGTAGCCATATCACCCGGAAACATCACTTGAGAGATAACCATATCACCCGGAAACATCACTTGAGAGGTAGCCATAGCACTCGGGAAACACCACTTGAGAGGTAGCCATATCCCCGGAAACATCACTTGAGAGGTAGCCATATCATTCGGAAAACATCACTTGAGAGGTAGCCATATCACTCGGGAAACATCACTTGAGAGGTAGCCATAGCATTCGGGAAACATCACTTGAGAGGCAGCCATAGCACTCGGGAAACATCACTTGAGAGATAGCCATAGCACCCGGAAACATCACTTGAGAGATAGCCATAGCACCCGGAAACATCACTTGAGAGGTAGCCATAGCACCCGGAACCATCACTTGAGAGGTAGCCATAGCACTCGGGAAACATCACTTGAGAGGTAGCCATAGCACTCGGGAAACATCACTTGAGAGGTAGCCATATCCCCCGGAAACATCACTTGAGAGGTAGCCATAGCACTCGGGAAACATCACTTGAGAGATGGCCATATCACTCGGGAAACACCACTTGATAGATAGCCATATCCCCCGGAAACATCACTTGAGAGGTAGCCATAGCATTCGGGAAACATCACTTGAGAGGTAGCCATAGCACTCGGGAAACACCACCTGATAGATAGCCATATCCCCCGGAAACATCACTTGAGAGGTAGCCATAGCATTCGGGAAACATCACTTGAGAGGTAGCCATAGCACTCGGAAACATCACTTGAGAGCAGCCATATCACTCGGGAAACATCACTTGAGAGGTAGCCATATCACTCGGGAAACATCAGTTGAGAGGTAGCCATGGCATTCGGGAAACGTCACTTGAGAGGTAGCCATAGCACTCGGGGAAACATCTCTTGAGAGGTAGCCATAGTCCTCGGAAAACAGACTGGCCCTTTTCCTCTGTTTCGCACGCTACGCAGCCAGATAGCTGAGGCGAAGCAATATGGCAGGTGGCCAGTCAGAGGAAGCATCGCCTTAGAGACGTCGTTCCAAGCGCTGCTTTATTTTATACTATTTTAGCGTCAAGTTTTTATTTTACTAATAATTCCGTGATTTGAGACATGTGTTCATTCAAGAGGTTGTAGCGACAGTCATAATACTGACGTGTGCGAAAGGCGAATTTAATTGTGTCGTAGTTAGGTCACATATGTCTTCTCGCCTTTGGGTATTATTCGATAGCTTCCTTTGAATGCTGTTCAGCCTGAGATTGCAGCAAAAATCACGGACTAACGGTATGCATGGACTGTAATTCACCAATGACTATCGTTTAACTGGCGACGGCATACAACGCCATCAACACACCCTTTAAAATTCGCCGCCAATGTCCGTTCGTATATAAGGGGACATAACTCCACTCCTCGATGTGCACCAATCGTTTCCACGATTAGGAGCGTGATAATTATCCCTCTTGATATCAACGGCCCGTGTTAATAATAACGACAAACATATTTCAAAACTTTCCAAAAATAATGAAGTCAAATAAATTGAGGGTTATTGAAAAAAATACAATGTATATAAAATAGCAATCCCTTGGCACTCTTCGTGGAGTGAGTCTGAGTTGATCACGTGACAACCATCAACATAGATAAATAAAGATAAGGGGTGCTTAAACTCACATCATGAATTCTTTACAAACGGTTCTAGCGCCGAATTCCAACAACAAAGACACATTAGCTGCGAACTCGCCAGCAAGCTAAAGTCTAACGAAACGGTTGTTGCCTTAGTTACATGGCGCTGTTCCGGAGTAATGTGTTTCTTTGTTCGACAATATACATGATTGCTCAGCTCCAGACTCCGTTGATGAACAAGGGAATAAATCGCAATTTGTAAAACGGGAGTTGGTTGTTAAAAACCGAGCAGCAATTCTTCTCTTGACAATCGTCTGAAAAATTTGCCGGTTGAAATGTCCAGAGACAAATGTGAGCTTAATTACCGTTAAGACGCATCAAAGGGAATAATTGAGGACAAAAATTGTGTTGATGGAAAAGACCAATCTACGCTAGCCTCTTTGATCCGCTGATTAGAAATGTTTCTCTCGATTCCTTCTGTGTTTTTTTCGGGAACAGTGTCAGGCAACCCAAGCTCGTTGCTTCCCGTGCACATGTAACTGTGCTGGCGACAACCCAGACAGAAAGTGCAACCACAAGCTAGAAACAGGATATATCAATATTTTAATGTTCTTTTTAGTTAGACTTTCGCAATGTCTGTTCTGAGCTGGAGAGTACGTTTGATTTTGTTAATTGTTTAATCCCACATGAGGAATACAGCTATATGGCGACGGCCTGTAAATAATCGAGACTGGACCAGACAATCCAGTGATTGATATAGTGAACAACGATCTACACCTTCCCGGGTATAATGAAACATTCAGCCAAGTCACCACCCATGCATCACCAACACATGAATTCAACTGCAGTGAATAATGCAACATCTGCTTATTGAATGAGTGAGTGAGTGAGTTGGGTTTAACGCCGCTTTCAACAGTATTACAGTTATATCGCGGCGGGTCAGCTTAATGTGGGAGGAAAGCCCTAAGTGATGCAGGTCTCTGACGTTTACCACTTCGGTGAAACCCACGAGCACGGGTATGGTGCTAACAAACCTAGAAACATAATTGGGGCGAACCGGGATTCAAACCCATAATCATAGGTTTCTGGCGTGCCCAAGGGACACAACTCTGCACAGCGAATCGCGGCGCCTTAGACGACTGGCCCCCTTTGAGCGTAATGAGATAGCTTGCTAGATGCATTTGTAACCCGTGAAGCTCCGGGGTAGAATAGGCCTTCAACTACCCATGTTTGCCGTAAAAAGCAGCGATGCTTGTATTTTATTTATTTATTTTTTTTTTTTTTTATATT